TTCTATTCTATTCTATTCTATTCTATTCTATTCTATTCTATTCTATTTTCTATTCCATTCCATTCGATTCAATTCGATTTTCTATTCAATTCTATTCTATTCTATTTTCTAGTCTATTCTTATTGTATCCTATGACTATCATCAAGTGTCATACATGATGATTCCTGACTCTTGACGAATGTATCTTTTCCCTTATGTATACTGAGAGCATTTGCACCAAGACAAACTCCTTGTGTGTCCAATCACACTTGGCCAATAAAAAGAATTCTAATTCTAAGAACATGAGGTCCACAACGGCCCTTCAAGTTCTCACATCCCTCAATCATGTACCAACCTCTTGCTTTGCCGAGTAATGCACTGCCTGCTCATTGTTCTCCAGATGTTCTTCCAGTAAGGAATGGCAAACTAATCAAGGGGAGAGCCAACCTAGAACCAAGGAGACATTTCCTAACAGTGAGAACAATTAATCAGTGGAACAACTTGCCTCTAGAAGTTGTGAATGCTCCAACACTGGAAGTTTTTATGAAGAGATTTGATAACCATTGGTTTGAAGTGGTGTAGAGTTTCCTACTTGAGCAGAGAGTTGGACTAGAAGACCTCCAAAGTCCCTTCCAGTTTGTATTATGTGTTCTATTTAGTGTTTCCCTTAACTCACACTTTCCTTTCAGATCCAGCCACCCATTCCCACGCCTCTCCACACCCTTTCTACCCAGCTGATGTACCTTTGCATGTTTTCTAGCCCCACTTCTCACCCACTATGCTGCTTCTCCCCACCCCAGTGACGTTTTTCGATCTTGCTGCTGGGACAAAATCGCAGAGGTTTTTAAAAGTTGTTTTGTTTCAATTACAAAGCGGTTTTCTTCCTCCCATCAACCCAGAAGACAGTAACGCCAGGGTGGGAGAGACAGAGTTTCAGTATTCTAGCGCCCTCTACTGACAAACAAAAACATTGCACGTTTTCTTAGTTTGGCTGTTATTCCCACCAATAATAGCCCTTCTTGGAGATAGATAGATAGATAGATAGATAGATAGATAGATAGATAGATAGATAGATAGATAGATAGATAGATAGATAGA